AGCAGTTGATTAAGTTGAATAGATTTAGTTAGGAAGTAATGAATAAATTACTTCAACCATTTGAAACTTACATGAGTAAGTCGAATGAGTAAGTGTTTCCCTGTGGCATTGGATTTGCTGAGATCTTCTGGATCGATGATCTCAGCCATAGAGATGGGGCGACCACCGTGAGACCAGTGCACTTGGGTAAATAAGATAAGTAAATGTAATTATTTATTTCTTTAAGCGGGGCCCAATAATCCAAATAATTGCAAGAAAACTATAGTGTCAGCAATACCTCTTTGTATTTCTAACAGTTTTGTTACTTTAATGGGCCAATATACTTCCAACTTCCTCAAAAAGTTCTTTCTCTGGCAGAAATAAGCAAGAAGATTGGGAAGAATATTATAATGTAGTGTGTTGGCATAGTTATGCTAGTGTAAATCTGTGTACAAGTGTCAGTTTGAGTCACTATCTGAGTGTTAGTGTGTGTCTGAATATCAGTGTCGGTGTGTGTGTGTGTGTCAGCAATATCTGTACATTAACTGTTTTATTTGTTTTATGTATACAGCTCTTTGAAGATATTGCTAGCTACCTGGCTACATTCAAGAAGCGTCGAAACATTCAGGATGATTTACCCATAGGCTTTACCTTCCCATTTACATTCATCGAGAACATGGAAGATGAGGTGAAACACATGTATATCTCACGGAGAATGTTTGTAGTTTTGTATCTGCAACACATTGACAGGCTGGGAAGTTGAAGGGATGGTTCACAATAGTCAGTTTAACAGATATAAAACATGTGCTAGTTAAATAATATTATACATTATATTATTATATCAATGTCTTTTACAAATGTGATATATTTGTTGACTAAAGAGTTAAAGCATCATAACCACTACTTCCTGCTGCAGTGGTTATAATGCTTGGAGTACTTTGTCACTGTTTCCCAGCTGGGGCCTGCCAGGCGCTAAGCCTCCCTCATTGGCAGCTGAACTGCATCCTGCTTTTTTCCATCAGCAAAAGCCAAATCAGCTGAGCACTCTCAGTCCATGAATGAAAGTCTATACTTAGAATAAATCCAGATTTGACATTAGTCAGCCCGAAACTCTCATTCTGGGCTTGCTAGTCGTTATGCCATGGGTGAAGCTCCTCCGGCAGCTAGCCTAAATATCTCTGCATGTGCAATGTTGCTTGGTGAAACGCTGCACACACAGGATGCTTGCACCATGATCAGTTCAAAATACTGAAGTGGTCATGGTGTTTGGAGTAACTCTTTAACATGCCATTACTCATATTCAGAATTGCACCTCTATTCAGAACATCTTCAACTTCCATGCCTCCACTTCCTATACTCTTTCTGTGCACCCT